TGGCAACAGATAGCAGAGCAAATGAAAATGCAAGGTGAGCTTACACTGTCTGCCTTTACGGACTGCAAAAAAAAATTATGTTAATTTTCATATAATTTCGAACAGAGGCACTTTTGAAGAGTCGTTGGCACTTTCTGTGCGAGCACTATAAACGTAACGCCATAACCGACAGCCAGGTTGCTCCTAACCAGTTTCCATACAAGAAGGAAATGGAGTTTCTCTTGCCCTACTTGCGGCCGCCCCAGCGGGAAGAGCGGCCAAGCGAAGAAAGTTTACCGATGAATGTTATAAAGCCTGAGTTTGTAATCACAGAAAAAGATTTGGAAAACGACAGCGGCAGCGAGGAGTACGTGTTTCTGGAAGTGGAAACGCTCGGCTCGGAAGATGAAACAAACAATGAAGCAACACATCAATTGAACGATAATGAACTACGAAATGAATTACAGGAAGAAGGGCAGGAACGAATGCGAGAGCAGGAGCAGGAGCATGAACAGGACCAACAACAACAGGATAACGAAGTAAATGAAATCGAAAGAATTGAAGTAGAGGTGCATATAAAGCAGGAGGAACCAGAAAATCTACAACAGTATAATGAAATCCTAAGAGAGTCTAGACATTTAAAAAAAGAGATTCAAGAGGTCCAATGCAATAGAAGTGGCGCCACCGAGGAGGAAGCCGTTCGTACTCAAATCCATGAAGCAACCGAGGAAAAGGTGGAGGGCAAAGTGGAAATACGGGAAGGAGACAGCAGCAGTGATAATACTGCGGGCAGTGTAAGTACAAACAACACGACTAACCGCAGTAACAATCCGGAAGAACGGTGTGAAGACGCTATATTTGGTGAATTGGTTTCCGCAATGTTAAAGAAAATGCCGGCAGAAAAGAAGCGCGCCGTCAAACGTGACATCATGAATTTGTTGCTAACTTAAGATGAAAAACACCGCCTAATTANCGCCGTCAAACGTGACATCATGAATTTGTTGCTAACTTAAGATGAAAAACCGCCAGATTGTGGCGTTGTATTTCTTCATGCTTCAAAATTTTTCATATTTATGCAAGTAAGCGCTAAGTCATTTTTAAACGTATAATACATTTAAAAGTATATAAAAAAGGCGGATAAAGCTCAAAAATTAGATTTGTAGGTTAACGTAATAATATGCATACTTCTTAAGCATAAAAGTGACATAAAATTTATCTTAGAACATGTCTTATATGTATCAATTTGTATCCACTATAAATAATTTATAACTCATTTAAGTTTCAAGAAATGACTTGTGGATTTGTATTTGTATGTACATCTGCTTAACGTTGGATGACCGGCCGAAGTCACATACTTTTTAAACCCTCATTTGGAAGTTAACTAAGCCCNTAACTCATTTAAGTTTCAAGAAATGACTTGTGGATTTGTATTTGTATGTAGATCTATTTAACGTTGGATATCCTGCGGAAGTCACATACTTTTTAAACCCTCATTAACACTCCTAACCCTTAAAATTTGGAAGCTAACTAAGCCTTCATTCTCAGCACTCTGTGCGTATTTAAGCGGCAACTATTCCGATTTCGTGAGAAAACGAATGCAAACGATTGTGTGCAGTATTCGACAAGTCCCAGTTCAGACGCATGTGCCATGCATACGTGGAGCGACTCTGTCAGTTGCTCTTGCCAAGTGCGCTTAATATCTTCCTCGATCATCACCGCGGTCAAATTTTGTCCCATCAATTTAATCTGCTTTACCGCATCTTGGCTACGCGCCACCACAATAATGAAAGCGAATCGAGTGAATTCCAGCCACTGGTGCATCTCGTGAAGGCATACTTGCACTGCTAAATCTATAAACATCAGCTTACAGTTGAATGTATGTATGTCCCTTATGACAGCCTGCTGGAGTTTGCCATTGAACTCTTGGTGAACATAGTCAGCAAGCTGGAAGGGAGCATCATATTCAGGCGGTTGCATATACCAGGGATACTGTCGATTAACGAAAGCGT